ACCCAGCACCATAGAACAGTTTATAGTCAGTGTCCGGTGTAAATTCCACAAAATTTTGAAGTAGTTATTAGGAAGCTGTGGTGCTTATTATCGATATATATTAGTTTATACGGTACAGCAACGTCTGGAGTAGTTTAGCCTGCTGTGGTGAACATCATCCATACATGATTAGTGGGGTATATCTGATGAAAAAGACAGGGCTCTGTAAATCAGAATTATGGAGGGATGACTTAAGTGATGAATCGCAATCCTCGATTTTGTGTCTGTTGTTCTATATTACTTGTAGATAGTAAGTTACTATAGTTGAACAAGAAGTGTCAAATGCTTGTAGTGATAACTTAATTACTATGGAAAGTAGATCTAAGCACAATCATGAATTTAATTTTAATCTTTTAATTTGCATCAATTACTTAGTTGTAACTATAAGAAATTGGCCAAAATATGGTTAAATTATTATTGAATAATCGTATACATAATCTCTAATTGTCAAAGTAGGATCATATTTCTTTTGTGGGATCAATTTTTGTAAACTGAGTTTGTGGAAACATGAACAAAAATTAAGATCCTGGATATTGAAGTAGTAGGAAAGGCATTCGATAAATCTAACTTGACGTCAGATTTGGATCGTAGGGCTTTATTGCGAAATATAGTTTGCGAAAAGTTTCATAGGTTGGTTAATCGTTATACTTTTCGACATGTATCTTAAAGTGTACTAATATCACTATCCTCGTTGTTTGTGGCTTCCCTGAAACTTGAAGTAAGTTTGAGGTGTGATACGCTATGACCTTTCGTTCTTTACCTCCCCTAACATATCCTTTTCTTAGTTTTCATTTATGCGTATCTTTTTGTTTTCTTTTGCAATTTAACTATTTATTATTTATTAATCAAATGAATACAGGGAAAGGCTGATGCTGTCGTATGTGCATGTTAGTGTTACATTTTCTTTTGCAATTTAACTATTTATTATTTATTCATGAACTTTTCAGCATAAATTTCTGTAAACCAAGTGCGTTTCCTCGCCGGTATGGAATAAATCAGTGCTTGTAGCATGTGGTACGATGATTTGCTGTGGTCAATAATACCTTATCAATTATTTTCTTCGGTACTTGTTACAAGAAAGCATCTCTTGTAGGAAACCAGGTTTTATATGGGGTATGTAAATTATCCTCTTCTATCAAAGCCATAGAGGTTTCGTGATGGATGTGCTTTCTGTTCATTACGCAATAGTGACGGCCTTTTAAAAAAACACCCCACCCCCACCTCAAAGGAATAGCGGGGAGGGGGGATTCATATTAGTTGAGTCACATGACTAACGCATTGTAAATGGATTCCTGATGTATCTGGTGTCATCTTCTCCTTCCTATGATGTTTTATTGAGGGCTCTAGGCAGAAATTTTTTTTTCCATGGAAATGTAGGAGAATTGGATAGATCGTGAAATAGTCCATTTTAGTTTCCTTAATAACAACTCTAGTGGTCCTGAATAATACAAGAAGCTTCTTGATGTTTGATAGAAGTAACAAGTACACAAATAAGGTAGATTTTTTTCAGTGAGGGGGAAAAAGGGCATGAATGCGTCAGTTTATAACCAAAACAAAAAAACAAATAGGACCTTGGATTTCTTGAGTCTCCCAGCAACAAACGCTGGGAATAGTTGAGATTTATTCTGCAACTTGGTTAATAATAAAAGACGGGTGACCCCTGCAATTATCCCAATAACCCCATTTTAACAAGCTCAACTATAGTTTATCCTTCGTGATTATCTCTTAAAATTTAGTTAAGCAATTTAACATTGTCATCTTCTTCAGAGATGTTAGTTTTTTTATTGAGAAAAAGAAAAAATCGTCGATCTTCAATACGTTCAATATATTTTATGTAATATAGGCATGCATACTACTGAACTAGTGTAAATGCATGCTTACTAAATTTGTCAGATTCGTATACATGTATATAATACATGAACTATATGAATATTGAAAAACAAAATATGTAATAAAAGGGTTAAAAGAATGAAACTGGAGTAGGGATACTAAGACGACTCAAGGGAAACTTTGAAAAAACAATTCTGAAACAACCAAGAAGCATAACACATTTTTTTCTTCTTTTCTTTCTTCCTTGCAATATTCAGTCACCAGGCATCAGAAGGAAACACCTCAAGTTGTGACCTACATTATGCCAGAAAGTCAAGCGACAACTTGCTGCCGTTTCAAATAACAGAAAACAGATGCTATAAGATATTACAACTTCTCCACGGATGTGCTCAGAGTGCAGCTTTGAGAGACTTAGTGAAGGATTCTAGCTTCTTCAAGCCTTCTTCAGGGGATTTTGCCTCTCCTAAAATCCTCACCAGTGCACTTCCAACAATCACGCCGTCTGCTCCCCAACTCGCTATCTGTATCAAGAATGAAGAGTAAGTATATAACATACAGTGTTTAAATTTTCAATATAACAAGTTATTCAATGCTAGTATTTTCACACAACAAACCTGCTTCACATGGTCGGGTTCCGATATGCCAAATCCTACAGCAACAGGTTTGTTTGATGCCTGTAATTGTCGATAGTAATGATAGATATACATCAAATGGTGTTTTTGAAATTTAGTTTCATTATACAAATAACCTGATTATGCCTTCATTTTTTTAAATAAACTTGAGACTGCCTATCATAAAGTCTATTTGCTTTAGTTATCTACCATGCTATCTACCACTAGATACTTCTTTTTTTTTTTCACGTTGATGATGTGATTGATGATTGCAACCTGATTTCTCATTTTCTTCTCTCTTTTTAAACTTAAAACAATAATATTGATATATTCCTTTTAGGTTTTAGCTCAGGGTACCATAAAAAAAATGCTAAAAATGTTTAAAGACACACATACACAAAAAATGCCCTTTTCTACTTTTATCGAATTCACCGCTTTTTCTGAAAGATCTCCAATTAAGCATATTATTACTTAACAACATTAAATTTTATTACTGCCATTGCACACCTTGCTATAATGTATCTTATGATACTACTGTCAGTTTGTGTTAAATGATATTTCAACTATATAAAAAAAACTAAATAAATGAAGACGTTTCACTGTAGAAACCAGACATAACTATTTAAGGTTGACAGCAAAAAAGGGTAGGAGTGAAGTGGAAATACCTCTTTGATTTCTTGTAAGAGAGATGCAACACGTGAACTTACTGATGATCGGGCACCGGTGACCCCAACAGAGCTCACCTATTTCAGAAGATTGCAGCCAATTCGAAGAGGTAGGATATGTTGTGCGCGTCACGGAAGCGTGACAACCAAACGGGCGTGCTTCGAGAACCAAATCAAACAAACGTCGAGATAAAGGCCAAACAAATCAAAACAACGGCACAAATCCAAACACAATAGTTTTACGTGGTTCGGCAATTGCCTACGTCCACGGGGCAAGAAGGGGATGAGGTTTTCACTAATAGAGAAAGAGTATAAACTGAGATTACAAATCACTCGAAGGAACAAACTAATCTCACCAACAAGCTCTTAATCTCTCCAAACAAAACCCTAAACAAATAGCTCAGAAAATACCTCTTTTCTGTGCTCCAAATATCCCCAATTTTTCTTCTCCACCAATTTTCTCTTCCAATTATTCCATATATATAGAAATCCTAAAATCATAAACATACTAGGAATTCTAAACCAAAACCAAATCAAATTAGGAATCCTAATAACCTATTACCAAAATAGATCAGGAATCCTAATAATCTCATGTTATCAAAATAGACTAGGAATCCTAATAACCTCATGTTACCAAAATAGATTAGGAATTCCCTATCCAATAATTCTCCACCTCGGCGAAGTTTTCCCAAAACTGAGCCGACACCGACCAAACCAAATGCCTCACTTGTTGCGTCTAGTACGAAGTGAAACGATCCACAACAACGGACTCAATCCATAACAAGTCGAGACCCAAACAGGAGTGCGAACACTCACCCGAACGTCGGTATCTACTCACCAAATCGGCTGCATCAAAACCGACTGCCTACGTATCCTCTTGCCCAAGGAATCAAGCCTTCACGTAGTTCACCCAAATGGCCTCCAAAGGCCCTCAAACAAATAGAAAAGTATGCAACTCTTCCCCAATATCGCCGACGGATCTGTAACTGATAGCGGCCCCAAACTGATACAAATCAAACACCTCCATATGAGGTGAACCAATGGCCGTATCCAAATCATGTCCACCAGCTGCAACCGAATCCAAAACCAATCCATCATCTGCATCCGAAATCAAATGATCCCCAACATGTGTCACCTCAGCTGGAATCCCAAATGATGCAGTATGATCTGGAGTACGTGGAGTAATCTCCACCCAACGTGGAGTAGCATCACTCTCCACCTGCTGCGATATCCAAACGACCTGATCAACACTCTCCACCTGCCGAGAGTCAAAAGTGACATACCTGCTCAGAACAAAATCAGAAGCTCCCAAATGATAATCAACTGAGCCTCTGAACCCCAAACGCGCAATCAGATCAAATCTCACATCCTCGATGTGACCAAATGCTGGGTATCCAAATATCCGACGCAACCCAAAATCTGAAGCAGCTCCACCAGATCCAATAACTCCTAATGCAACAGTCGGCAACCTATACATGAGACGGCCAAAACATGTCGTAACCTGCACACCAATGCCAATGCTCGACATCAAACGCCGATCCTCCTCCAGAAAAGAACAGCTACCCAAATCTGCCATCTCACCTTGCCGCCTCAAAGTTTTCATACCAATGAAGTGTCTCAAACTGCCATGAGCTCGGCACAAATACAGTAGGTCCCTCTTGTACCTCCTTCTACAACCAGAATGAAGTACCTTCACCTTATTCCCAATACACTTCTTCAACTGTTGTTGACTACTAGGACTTCAAAACCAACGGGATTTGGTTGCAACCCACAAATGCCTAGTACAATCCCTAACATAGGAAACCAAAATACTAATTTACCTTCCAATGATGCCTCTTTGGAAGGCCCCTAAATGCTTGAATGAACACCAAATAGAAGACCCCTCAATCATCAAATAGAAGTGCCAAACTCCACCTCGGTCTCCTTGCTCATACCAACGTGCTCAAAAGGACTTTAATATGCAGGTCAATGACACTTCTTAATAATCCAATGCACCGTATCAATAAACAAATAACCCAGCTTCAAATCCTTCTATCTCGGCCAACTATCTCAAAGCACCAACAAATGAAGAATAGATCCAAACTGATAAAGGAGAGAATTTTACCTCCAAATGAAACCCTAACAAGAGTCTCCAAATGATCTCACCCCGCACGACGGCAACGAGATCCACAAATAGGAAAAATCTCACCTTTATCAACGGGCGTGCTTCGAGAACCAAATCAAACAAACGTCGAGATAAAGGCCAAACAAATCAAAACAACGGCACAAATCCAAACACAATAGTTTTACGTGGTTCGGCAATTGCCTACGTCCACGGGGCAAGAAGGGGATGGGGTTTTCACTAATAGAGAAAGAGTACAAACTGAGATTACAAATCACTCGAAGGAACAAACTAATCTCACCAACAAGCTCTTAATCTCTCCAAACAAAACCCTAAACAAATAGCTCAGAAAATACCTCTTTTCTGTGCTCCAAATATCCCCAATTTTTCTTCTCCACCAATTTTCTCTTCCAATTGTTCCATATATATAGAAATCCTAAAATCATAAACATACTAGGAATTCTAAACCAAAACCAAATCAAATTAGGAATCCTAATAACCTATTACCAAAATAGATTAGGAATCCTAATAATCTCATGTTACCAAAATAGACTAGGAATCCTAATAACCTCATGTTACCAAAATAGATTAGGAATCCTAATAATCTCATGTTACCAAAATAGACTAGGAATCCTAATAACCTCATGTTACCAAAATAGATTAGGAATTCCCTATCCAACAGGATATAAGTACTAGAGAACGAAGAACATTAATTCCTCTCATGCCTCTGAATTCAGCTTGCAAACATGATGACTGAACAAATAATAAGAGGAACTTACAAGGTATACGAATCCTTCCGCAGCTTCAACAATTGCCTTCATTCGTTCCGAGGGAGTAGTTGGAGTTGTAAGCAGCACCTACATAAAAACGACGTGAAAGTTAACCAGATGATATGTTCAAGAACCCCATGACCTCGCAAGTTCGTTGGTGTTCACATAATCCGCTTGTCGTGTAGAAACTATAAGAAGAAATCATGTGATTTTCTATTTCAACCGGGTGACCGTAAGCCACTAACAAAAGCCCAAGACTCCCGTGTGTTTTAGCTAAAGTCTGGTGGGTGGCCGGTGGGGGTTGGCAACTTGTCTCCTTTGCTTTTCTCTTTTCTCCACAGAAAAAAAAAAGCAAATTAGATAAAAGGGTACACATGACACAGCTAATAAAAAGGGAGGGAGGGCGGCAACGGGGAACACGCGGTGAGCTCTTCACCTTTATCTCCAATGTCAACGTCAGTTGGCATCATCTCTATCTGTATATAAAAGGATTCGGGTTCGGCAGTGGATGGAGATCGAGTTCAAGAAAGCAACTATCAGTTCTTCTTCCTCAGTTGATATCTCTTACTGAAGTAGTTTCATGTCACGCTCCTGAGCATGGCAACCGAGTGCAGAAAAGATCCGGTCTTGATCTTGAGGATGGACGGAGAAGATCTCAAGGAGTTCGTTGGAATCACGCAATTTGAAGCTGAAGCAATAACCATATACTCACAGCTGGCTCACGCCGACGTAAATTTGCAAGAGTGCCTTACTATGGCCTTGGAGAGAAGCTCTAAGTTGATCATGGAATGCCACCTTCTACTGGTCCTTGGGTTTACGGAAGCATCGTCGAACCTTCGCTGCAATCACTTTCGGCAGGGCTTAACGAACCGATCTCACAAGAAATATTTCTCGAAACATTTAAGAAGATTATCAACAATATCATCCAGCGGCTTCATGAGCACCCAGTTATTGTTGCCCACAGCGAAAACAGTTTCGACGGAAGTGTCATTCGCAGATTGCTATCCAACAGATTCGAGCTAAACAAGTTGCTAGATGTGGTATGGAGAGACTTGCCAAAGGATCAGAGTGTAAATGCATCAAAGGAGTGCATTTTATTTGCTCTTGATAGGCTAGCAATTTCAACAGAATTTCCTCCTCGGGTATCCAATGACCAGGTTGACGTAATCGTGAATGAAGTCATTGAGATGGTCAATGTAGACAACATAAAGAGCATGAATGAATAAGAGCTCAAGAAGAAAGTTTCGGACGCTCTTGAAAGTCTAAGTTTGCGATTGGGAGCTAACCCTATCATTTCCTCTTCAAACTTGGTGATCGATGAGCCTCAAGCTTCTTCTCCACCACCAACGCCCATCCCGAGCGACTGATTTATGCTATGTATTTTAGCCTCTGAGCATCTTCATATTTGTCTATGTTATGTATGCTTTAGTTCATATTTTCTAGTACTTCAGTTGTCAATCTTCGTAAAAATGGTAATTAGAGCTTAGGAATGCTTCCTTTGCATATCCATGTATATTTAAAGAAAAAAAGAAAAAGAAAGAAAAGGAAAAAAAAAAGAAGAGAAACCCCCAATTAGATACTTTTTTCAAGTATTTGTCATAAATTTTGGCATGAGTCTACTCTTCTAACAGAAGAGAACATCGGAACCTAACTTGTTAGTTAGTTTGACAGAACTCAAAGACCTATAGTCATGCTCAGTGTTCTTTCCCCATTCACTGCGGAAAAGAAAATGAGTCATCAAACTTTCACTAAGAAGGGCGAGATACCCAGGGTATGTATTGATCAGGAAAATATATACAAAATATACATGAAGAACGATTGAAGAAGAGGGAAATGTCAGGCAGCCACTATATTTGACAAAGGAATGTCAGACAACCACCATCTTTGACAAATGAAAATCGGTGGCCACAAATTTTGAGAAAAATAAAATGGTGGTGGGTCCCACCAATAAAATATTATTAGTGACGTGTCCCACCAACAATATTTTATTAGTACATAGTATTTCCCAAACACTATAAAAAAGGCCAAAATTCTTTAGGGAAAATCATCCCAGAAACAACTCCTCTTATAGAAGAGTAAGAGAGAAAACATAGAGAGAGTTTGTGAGAAATCTTGGAGAGTATCTTGATCAAGAGAGGGTGTTCTCTTTGATCATTTTCTTTTGGAGTATAAAGAAATTGGGCGTCGTCGTTGCACCGTGGAGTAGCTCCGTAAGAGTGAATCACGTTATATCTGTGAGTATTGTGATTGAATTTGTGTCTGCTTGGGTGTGTTTTTGCGTCTCCGTTTGAGGCGTTCTTGTTGGTGTATATCTCAACAACTGGTATCAAAGCCTGACTTAGAGTATATATATCTGCTTATCGTATGTTTTGTGGCTGTCACTAAAA